ACATTCTCCAACACGTTACTCTTCTTCTTCTTCTTCTTTTTCTTCTTCTTCACTTGGAAGTCTTCATCAGTATCCGTTTGTGTTTGAAAACTCAAAGAAAGAACGCGCGTTCTGTCTGTCTGTCTGACCGTCTTTAGTTGTCTCTACCTACTTAATCATAATATGTATCTACAGTTTGCTTATCACATTTTTTTTTCGAACAGACAACAGTTACCTACTTATTTACAATATAATTCATTCAATAAATTCATAAATTTATTTCTAATGATTACATTCTTTTTTCTTTTTAAATAAAAAAAAATTAAAAAAGATGTTACTGCAGAAATCGTATGTGTGAGATGTGGGGAATTTAAATGCAAACGCTTAAACATATAACTACCTTTCCTTGTTTACTCGTTTTGTTAGAAGGATAGTTAGAGAACGATGATAGAACAAGAGATAGTGAAATAGAAAGAGAGAGAGAAAGAGAGGTAGGTTGGATGGAGACATTGAAATTTGCTCTCGCACGTTTTCATAATTTATTCATCGTTATTCGCACGGGAATAACCCACGAAACGTCCGTTAATATTTAGGATAGATCTAAATACTACAGTAACGTTTACGTTCCAACACTCAAGATAGATGTTAACGCATAATTCCTAGACAGTAGATATTTGAAAACATTTACGATAGACGTAATACAAATCGCGACGTTAAGAGGACCGTGAAGGAATAGGGCTCATGTTCATACTATATATATATATTATATCCTATAGTACGTTACGGTACGGTACTCACGAATTAGCTAAGTCATAAATTATTCGGGACACAGAGGCCGATATTCTTACCATGATGGTTTAAGGAGGAGATTTGAGAAGACGTACGTGCGAAGGACACGTGTCATCCATATGTAATTTATAATAGGGACTTCGGATTTCGTCCAGGATCTCTGAAACTCCGAGTGTATACCAAACCCATAGACGAATATGTTATACTTCCTATTATACTCTCATTTATATCCGTATTAATTCATTTCTTCATGTTACCTGTAAGATCTGTCCGATATTTTTAATATATCAATAAAACGATATTATAATTATTCTATTTCTATAATTTTTTAACTATCTCGACTCTATAGAAAAAAAAGGAAGAAGTCATTAAAATTAATAACAAAAGTATTCAATACGCAAAAAACTTTTATATTATTATACTAATTAATTTTAGTTTCCTTTTAACAATAATTATCAGATATAATATCTATCGTATTTTCGAATATAAATATAAATCAAAATTCTGATCATATAAACTTTTATAATACCAATTAATTGTTTCCTTTACAATTTTCCGATATTATCGGGCATCTATTGTTATTAACGAAAATAGATCTAAATTATTAACGAAATTGATATAAAACAATATTTACTTGTAAATATTATTCAATTAACGAGTATATGTATTCGTAGAAAACCTTTTTTCCATTCTTCATATTATTATTCTTCTTCTTCTGTTTGATCAATTAATATTCCAGGACAATAGTATAATACTTTCGGTAACTGTTAACGGGTCCGATCATCCATCATATGTCGCCATAAATCTAAGTAGAAAATCGAAACGTGATTTGTCTCCTATCGACTTCGCGGATAGAGAAGAAACGTTCTTTCTCATAGAGTAAGTGTGTGAAAGATCGCTAAACTGTTCTCGATACCACGCGGCCCGCATATTGAACGTCCGATTCTCCTATACGCTCTATGGTTTACTACTATTGCCAATAGTACAGACCTAACCGCTGTTACATTTTCTCTTTCTCTCTCTCTCTATGTCTCTTATTCTCTCTCTCTCTCCCTCTCTCTCTCCCTCTCTCTCTTTCTATTTCTCTTTCTCTATCTCTGACTCGAAGTAACTCGAGCGAGAAATGCTTGCGCACTGTTTCCTATTCTTGGTGTACGCATCCTCTCTCTAACCGATAAGACATATTCCTAATATTCCAACCACTGAATTCTATTTCTAACAATTCAAATAATGAATAAAGAATATAATAATAATAATAATAATAATAATAATTGCAACAAATAAAAATTACTTACGTTCAGATAAAAAAATTAAGAACAACGTGATAAGTATTTGTTATCAATTATAAATACTAACATTTCGATTTAATTACTGTTCCTAATTTTCTAACCAACCAATTCTGTTTCTTATAATTTAAGAAAGAAAAAACAACCTAAAATCATATTATAAATATTAAGTTATGAACAAAAGAATATATGAGATAAAAAATAGTTCTTTAATGATATCTATAATATTATCATCGTGATTAAATCTTATTGAATATAATCATGGGTAGATCATCCTACGTTTTAGACAAGAATTTCTTATCAGATTTTTCTCTCAAGAAAGAAATTAGAGCATCGAGTATGTATATATATATATACTGGATAGAAGATCGTCACACGTGTTAGTCCTTTGTGCAATCTAATATTATAATAATATATTATGTAAAGGAAGTCCCTCTTTCTTTCTCTTTAGTATTAAGGTTACGACGATCATATAGCTTCCATACGATCGACATTTTCTACACGATTACGCATCTAATTTATTCAGAAAATTATCTAATGTAAGAAGGTTTAAAAAAAAAAAAAGGAAAAACAAAAAGAACGAACATAAGAAAACGAGAGAGAGATAATACTTATCATCAAACATACAAAATTTCTATCTTTTTTTATAATCTTGATTAAAATTTAAAGAAAGAAAGAAAGAAAGAAAAATAGAGAGAAGAGGAGAGAGAGAGAGAGAGAGAGAGAGAGAGAGAGAGAGAGAGAGAGAAGAGAGAGAGAGAGAGAAATGAAATAATTAGATTCCAATCAAGATCAATTAAGTTTCAACGAACAAATTCATATCTTCCTCAAAACGTACACTCGAATTAACGTACAAACATAGAAATGTCACTGATTAACATGTCTACCTTCACAGAGAGACAGAGAAATATATATATATATAATTCTGTGTACATATATATGTACGTAAATGTGTGTGTGTGTAGAGTAGCGTACCGATTGCACCATTTACCGTGCCTGTCAAAGTAGCAAAGGGTCATCTGACCACACATTAAACGTGTGGTTGCTATTTGCCAGATTGCCACTCATCGTTCAACGAGACGAGTCTCATGAATCGTGTCGATGCGTGACAAACTCTGCTATATTACATGCAAATGCCGTCTATGATTCACTGGATAAATAATTTTGATTATATATAAAAATGATACAGAGAAAAAAGAAGAGAGAGAGAGAGAGAGAATTTTTTAATAATAAATACATTCATAGCAATATACTATATGATGTTACTGTGTAAACGTATATAATATTATAAATAAATCTTTAAAATGTTTTAAACACATGAATATAATTTTTGAAATTTATCAGAAATTACAAAATTATCAAATTTTTATTTAAAAACTTTGACAATAGTATTAATTATTTGTTACAACTTTCATAGCAGTATTAATAAATATATAGCAATATATCCTATATATATTATATTGTTGTTAATATATATCATTTGATATTTGCATTCGAAACATTTTAAAAAATACAAATTACCACATCAGAATTGCATTTAAATTAACAATCTATTTTTCCCTGACGTTCCAAAGATAATTTTATTGAAAATTTAATCAGATTATGTACACGAATGATATCCTCGTCTTTACATATATATATTTTAAAAACAGGACAAGTA